ATTGTTTTTTCAACATCACTATCTACAAGTAAGCAAGTAAGCATCAAATTTCGGATTTTTCAAGTATTTACACAAAGTTAAAATGCATTTATTGTGACGATGGCATCATTTAACACTTCCTTGTGGATTCAAGTTCGATTCCATAGCAGAGACAAAAATTTTTATTTGCATATAGAATGGTAAAAGATAAATCATTTGACGAATTAGTTCCAACCCGAGTTCCTTGATTGCACTATTCTTTTTCAACCACATTGCCACTTTTTATTCGATGAGCCGTTTTTTCTAAATGCTTATGAATTCTGCAAGGAAAAATAAATAATTCAAAAAGCTCAGAGTTGAATCCATGTAATTTTATTAACTTCTCTGACTTTTGTTTTCAAAAACGAGAGAATTTAAGAGATACAATAATTTCAAGTTTTGAAAGCAACGAAACGATTTCTTTATAGTGGATTTAAAATCCTTCAAACACAGCTATTTTGGAACAACAATTTTTTCTTTAAAAAATCTGGCAAGCGGGAAAAAGTTTTCAAAAACCAAAAAATTTTACTTTTTTATTCAATTTTTTTTTTGGTTTTCAACCTAAAACTTCTTAAAATTTTTTTCAAAAGCAGAAAAGAATATTCAGTGCTTTGTCTTTTGTTTAATTAGTTGCAGATTTTCAAATAATGTTCAGATATTCTGCAAAACCGTATGTTCTATGAGCAACAAAGTTTTTTGCTAATAAATTAGTGTCAATGAGTTGTCTTTTTACATCACTTTTGAAATAGGTTGGATCGTAAAAAAAATCACAATTTTGAAGAAAATGTCAAAAACATATATGCTTAGTTTCCTCATGATCAGTTTTGCAAACTGTGGGGAACTTGAGAACTGCTAGTTTGTGTAGGATTGGCTAAAGTGACATTATTTTTTCACGGCAAAAGCACCGCAAATTCGATTGATCGGTTACGTTGGGCTCACGTGAAGGATTTGAGGTTGTCATTTCAACATGCACGTTGAAGACACAAAGCAGAGGTATAAAAAGGGCTGAAGAAGAGAAAAAAAAACAATTATCAAAAAACAATAATTTGGAAAATGTAAATTGGTATGTGAACAGAGCGAAGTTGATGATCAAAATTTTACATGCCAGTGACATAAACGGGTCACTATCAAACCGAACCCTCAGCCCCATCATGACTAGCATGCTCTCAGTATCCTAGTTAGTTCTTTTCAATACTTAGTAGTTGTTGTCTCTTAATTCTCTGTGTTCATTCTTTTTCGGAAAGTTCAAATCAAAACCACCGCATATTTGTTCATTTTGATTATTTTGCTTTAAAGTGACCACTTCCACTCATGCGACCAAAATTGAACCCAAGAAATAGTCTTTTAAAATTCCGATAAAAATCCAGGAAACCTGTTGAACAAAATGTGAAAGCAGCAGAATAGAAAGGAATGAAGTTGAGAGAAAGCAAAAACATTGGGTGAAACACAATTGAAAAATGGTATGTTGGTTTGTAAACGGTAATTCTGATTGGTGTTACTTTTCCGTGCAGTGGCAAAAAGGGTCAAGCACCAAGTCTCGCCACCCTCTCTCCATCCCCCTCCCTCATGCCATCACGAAAAGAGAGCTCTGGAAAACTTAGTCAGCTGTTTTCAACACCCGCTCAGAGCTGCGGTAGCTCTGGTTGTCTCTCTCTTCTCTCTCTCTCTCTCTCTCTCTCTCTCTGCCTTGCCATTTCTCCTCTACCCTTGCTCTCATTGCAATTTATTGTTCCTGCCTATTTCGGTTTTGGACTATCACCGAAGCAGCTCTCACTCAAGCTGGTGCTGCGTCATCGCTAGCAAAAAAAGTATCACGAAAGGAACTCAAGGCTACAAAGGAACCCCGGAGGAAAAAACGCAGATCCATAGAGGTAGTCCCAGAGAGGCTGCAAATGTGACTGGAACACAGAGCGGGCATTATTGGTAAACTTATCTTTATTTCGGCCAATTCTGGATAAAAACACACAATGTACTGCGTCTATACGATGGGTAAGCAAATGAGTCATTTAAAACTGAATTGAGGTGTTCATTTTACGTACCCAGATTCAAAATACATTAATTGAACTTTTTACCAATTGTATGCAGGATAAAAAAATTTAAAAAAAAGTTTTCACGCTTTCAGCGTTTCATTAAAAAAAAAAACTTTTTCATCAGTCTATTAGATGGCCGTCGAAACTTTCAGGGCTTTTTCTTGATACGAGCAGTCTTGTTTCTACTTGAAGTCTTAGGATTTCGAATCTCGGGCCAAATAGCGATTTTGCGCCAAAACGATTTCATTTTCAATTTATGAACGAATGCAAAAGTATTACATAAATTGAATTGCAAAATGCGTAATATTTAAATTCAAACTTTCATAATAAACATCTATGTAATACGATTCAACAAAAATAAATAAATAATTTAGTTGACGCATATACTAAACAGAGTATTTTGGGTAAAATTTTTGGGCAGCATTTTTACACAAAAGCTGTTCAGCTGTTGAAATTGTAATGCAGTGACAAGGTCTATCGAAATTTTTTCATCAGGTTGATAAACCACAAGGTTTCAGTTTGAAACAACATTGGTATTTAAAATAAATTGAGAGATAATTGTAAAATTTATTCAGGCAAAACCGATGGCCTATCAAGCGTCAGTGAACCGAATCATATTTGCACTTGTTATATTTTTCTTTTCAAAATACCAATTACAAAAATTACTTATACTGCAAGTTTAGCATAAAATCAGTAATGTATTCTCAGAGCAATAAGCAAATTGCATAATTAGACCTCATTCAAATTGCGCAGGCTTTTTAAACAAAAATAGTAAAAGCGGTAGTTTGATAGACTATGTCTAATGTCTATGAGTTGAACGCAGGCGCTGGTATGAAAAGAAAAAGTATTTTTACCTTAGAAACCGTTTTTTCCTAAATATCTTTTCTTGATTTTCATTTCTTTCTGCTCATTTTGAATGGCAGTCAAATTTTGTTTGACGTCAGTTTCTTTGGTAAATTGATAAATCAATATTCGCGTACACATAAATGCATGATAGACAATGTCTATTCATACAAAGCGATTGTTTCGTTAATGGACATGATTTTTGGGTTGATAAGATGCAGTTTTTATCTTGGGAAGAACAACATAGTTTTTCACGCAAATCCTTCTATGAAGAAGCAAGACGACGGGGTGGGTAGGTTAAGAGTTTGTCAGTATTATACAGGTGCGCTTTTGAGCTGCAAACAATCTAATCAGGAGGCCGGCTCTTTTTTCCTTCTCTCATCTGCGTGCGAATTTTTTGGGGTTTGGGTAGGTTATAGCGCCGTCGACATTGAAGTAGCCCGTCTTGTGTTGTCCAGTTTAACAGTGTGAGGCATGGCAGCTGTTTTATACATGGCATTGGCTGCATTTTTGAAAAAGCTGTCCGTGTTATAATAAATGAACACGTTTGTCCACGTACTCAAATACGCGAGATAGTTGCATAGGGTCATCAGAACATCGCTCGACACAAAGAAATGATCGGCTATGTAAATCGGAACGTGCGTCAAAAAGTACAAAACGGTCACCAAAAACAGCATTTTACAAGCTGCCAAATGTTGAATCCAGTCTAATCCCGCATTCGCTATATTGTGACTCTTAATAGCGTTGATAGTAGAAGAGATCTTGTTGTCCGGTTGTTTATCGTCGCAATTTTGTTCATTCGGCGACGAGTTCATAAAATCGACCCGAGTGTTGCCGTTCGGATCCGAGTCCTGCTCGGTTGCATGAGACGTTGTCATTCTGTTCGTCGAGTCGTTGCATCTCGTTGAAAAGGTTGACAACGTCATCATTTGTTTCTGTTCTTGAATCGCTTTCCGTTGCTTCACCACAATCACGACAATCAGCCCGTAGCACACGACAACTACAATGCCCGGACAAATAAGGTCCAGTGCGATTGAGATCCAGTAAATGTATTTTGACCTGTTTGCCGATATGATACAATAGATGACAAAAAAGCTGAACAAAAATGTTCCAATAATTAAGAGCCTTACGTTGCAAGCCCAATCGGACTTTCAACTTTTTTTTCACAAATTTTTTGAAAATTATTTATTTTTTTTTGAAGGTTTTGGGCAAAAAATTGTCATTGCCTCTCAACATGTTCTATATATTTGTTTTGTCATAACGAAAAATAAGGATTGATCGGCAGCCTGCTAACAGGAACAACAATCGTCCTTTTGAAACTCAAGCTCTGCCATTCTACTTTATGGATTCATTCAAAAAGACGCCTTTAGGTAGTAAAAAAAGGAGCGTCAAGGTGTCGAATTCCCGGGGGATTGCATGTGCCCGCAATATCCAGCAATTTGCTCTCCGATAAAACAAAAATTCAACCCATCAATTTTTAATATATTTTCAATCATTTTTAAACACTTTTTATGCCATTTTCTTTAAAGAGGGATATTCAATTTGTAAAATGCCGCAAGTTATAACCATCGTGGTATTACTTATTTAAAAAAATTTGGACCACAAAGTTAACATCCTAATCCTCCCCTAAGCAGTTTGGGGAGATTTTAACTTGGTTAAAAGTGGGACTTTTCGGCCAATCAGAATCAAGCTTTTTACAAGCAGCGCTCAGAATGTTTTATCTGAATTAAATGCTGGGGTGGAAGATATTAACTTGAGCCCATTTTTATATGGAAAAGATTTGTGCCACCCATTGAATCATATCTGCAACCTTTTGTCCTGAAGTGTGGGCCAGCACATGGGGGAGCCATCAGGGGACCCCTCCCACCCACAGTACCCCCATAGGTACACGGGCATGATGAGGGCGAAATGTGTGATGAGAATGATCGAAATCAGCAGCACTCTTTTTGTGACCTGAAGTTGAAGGTTAAACAAAAAACATGTAGAGCAACATTTTTTGAAATAGTCAATATCTGAACTCAAAAACCAAAATTGACTGTCACGAAGCTCAAAAAAAAAATGAAATTTAAACTGTGAAAACTCAAGCTGAAATGTTCCATTAACTTGATGTCTGAATTTGAGAATTTTTCACAATATTATTTTTCAAAAGTTCTTCAAACAAAGTAATTTTCTAGCAGAGGGGGAGCTCGCTTTGCTCGCAAATTTTTCAAGTTCAATTTGTAGTGTTAGTTGGCGTTTTTCAAATAGCTCTTGTTCTCTAATTTGTCAAAACTTCCGTTTCCGTTTTAATTTTTGTTCCGACTTTCGATACGAAAGTAACGGAATATTTGTGCTCGGGGTGGGTTTTTTTTTCTTCAGACAAATTTCGACTTTTTAACTAGCCATTTTTAACAGAATTTTTTCATATCATTCGAAAGGTATTGTTGTCCTGAGCTCAAATTTGAAAAGATATTTCACCTGTGATCATTTTTTGTAAAGTTACGGGGGTTTAAAGATTGCAATTTTGGCCAACTTGGGACAATTAACGCGCGATATTTCGCGCTATTAACGCGTAAGCGGAGAGTTAATCCGTCTTAGAAATCGTTCCAAATTGGTTAAAAGAAGCATATTTGCCATAATTGGTTTGTTACAAGGAGCGAAATCTATCCTTTTGTACTTTATATGGCGTGTGGGGGGATGATTTTCATAAAAAATTTCAAATTTTAGAAAAAAAAATTCAATTTTTTATTTTATTGAATTTTTTAATGTTATTACTGCTCCATAAACCTTAAAAGGCAGTCGGAACATTCAAAGCTTCGCCCTGTTACGAGCAGTCTTGTTAACTTTGAATTTCAAAAATGATTCTGTGCTTCAAAAATTAGCACGACGAATGGGAAGTTCAATAATTCTCTAACTTTCAATGTTGTAAAAATTTCAGTAGCCTCCGTTTTTAGGAGGCTTTAATTCAGAGTGACATACATTCGTCAATATCGGTGCGGTTTGAAATGCAAATTTAATTTCAACCATCTTAAGGAAATAAACTGCATGAAAAAACTTAGAAATCACTGATTCACAAGGTTTAGCCTTTTTACCATATTTATCCTATGAAATTGGCCAATTCTCAAAAATCAAGAACCTCCCCTGCGTTATATTTGATTCGTTATTCGCGCATGAAATCAAATATTTCGTATCAGCAGTTTAGGAGGATTAGAATAATCAACGTATTTGCACACAGGCGCACACGAGAAATTTTTTGTTTCGAATTTTGGTTTAAAAAAATAACGGAAAAATTGAGCTCGCTATCGAATTTTTATACCACGTGTGGACATTAGTTTAGAAATTGAAATGAATTTTAAATCGATTTAAATCGATTCACCTAAAAACATGTGAATCAACTTAACAATCTGAATAAAATTGGTTCGAAGCAATTTTTGGGGTTGTAAAAATATTAATTTTGTAGCCTCAAGCATAAGCTAGCATAACTTTGTTTTAGCTCCAGATATTGAGCAAAAATTTGTATTCGAAAATAATCTTCGTCAGTGTAACAGTGGTCTACAGCTACTTCAGGAAAAGTTTCCCGCCGCAAATTTATATTTTCTGGGAATCCCGGCTCTTTTCTAGTTCCCCCCTTTCAAAATACCGAGTTTTATATTTGTTTTACGTGTTATAACGGCTAAATGCCTGATGTTACGCTGTAAAGTATGAAGAACAAATCTGCTCAGAATTGACGATTTGTTCACCACGCCAAATTTCATTGCATTATGACAACGTTAAATATACTTTTCAAAATTGAATTTGAAAGGGAGGGGAACTGGAAAAGAGCCGGAATCCCTTTATGGTTCTGCAATCTAGAGGTTTTTGCGTTAAATAAAAGTAGTTTTAAGGGGAACTTTTTCTAATGCTATTTTTAGCATAGTTTTTTGGCGCAAATTTGTAAATCGAATTGACAAAAATGATGGCACCATTTGGAACAATTAATTACGCTGCACTAAACTCGCATATATACTAGTTGATCTTATAGATTTTTAAAATCATGTTTTAGCACTTACAACAAACTCAAAATTATACATATTTTTATAAAATGAGCATGAAAAAAAGATAAAGTAAAACTGGTCAAACCGAATTAAATCAATTATAAATCTCATTATATTGATCCAAGCTTTTTTCTGACTTTGACACAGGGGCGGATCTAGGATTTTCTCGGGGGGGGGGGGGGGGGGGGAGATTTCAAAAAATTTAGGAACAATTTTGTCGAACTTAATCTTTTTTTTTAGGTCGATCAAGTTTTCAGTTCTCCAAATCTTCACAGCACTAAAAAGTCCCTGTTTTAGTCAAAACTTCTGCGCCGCAGGCAAAATTTTGAAAAAAATATGCCAAAAAAGGCGTTTTTAGGCGCTTTGTGGAAAATTTTGACCAAAAAATTGCATTTTTCTTGGCGCGCACTCCCCCCCCCCTCAAAAAAAGCATATATTGGCGCCACAGGCGCTTTAGAAAAGTTTTAGGGTCCGTCACCAAAAATGGATATCCCAATATAGTACAAAGGGGGAACCTTTGGGTCAGCAGGTAGTGGAATTAAGCGTCCGCCCACCCCTCCCCCCTATACCCGCCCCTGGCTCGGGGTGTTTTTTTATCCGACCTTTTTTTTTGATTTTTCGACGACCTTTTTTTGACGACCTTTTTTGACGACCTTTTTTTTTTGATTTTTCGAGCTCTCCCAACGCACTGTTTTGCCCCTATTTTGGCAAAATTTTCTGCGCCACAGGCAAATTTTTGAAAAAACGGTCAATAAAGCCGTTTTTGGGCACTTTTTGAAAAATTTTGACAAAAAAAATCGCGTTTTTTTTTGGCGCGCGCTCCCCCTCAAAGTTAGTATATATTGGCGCCAAAGGCGCCTTTAGAAAAATTTTAGGGTCGGTCGGCCAAAAATGGATTTCTGAAAAAGTATCAAAGGGGGGACCCTTTGGGTCGGCAGGGGGTCGAATCCCTGAGGAAGGGCGTCCGCCCCCCCCTCCGCCCCTGCTTTGACATGAGACAGATTTAAATTCAGTAAAACTCGATCTGTATTGACCTTTCACATGTAGAAATGAGATCAGTTTGAATCGATTTAGAATCGAGTTAAAATCTTTCACAATTTGAAGTCTGGTCATTTTCAATGAATTTAAAATTGCTCCAAATTCATTTTATTCTATCTGAAAAGTTTTTGATACTAAAATTGATCTTAGCCAGTTTTTGTCAATGCGTGTTGAATTGTTTATTTTAAGAAAAAGGATGAGAATGGTGAATATTATATAAAGCCTAATTTGAAAAAAAAACTGATACAACTCACCTGTCGCAGGTATGCAAAAGGCCTGAGCAGGGAGTAGCATCGATCCAATGCACACAGCATTATGAGACACGCTTTGAAGTTCTGCAGAAACATGTTAGAGTAGGCCTGAAAAAAAATACATAATGAAAAACCAATGAAAGGTTTTTGAGTCATTTTAGCTGCATTTTGAAAGAAAAATATACAGCTCCGATAAAAGAAAGCATATGTAAATCGTGCGATTTAAAACTGTTTCAGACAATATAGTCTTAACCAATTTAATCAATTCGGAAAAAAAATATGAGCACCCATTTTTGCGATTATTTAAAGACAAATTCCTTCAACTGACATTTCAGTTTGGATATAATTAAATAGTATTTAACAAACTCTACAGCTAAGCTAATTTACATATCACTAAATTGATAACAGCAGATGGCCAAGTAAGAAATAGCTCAGAATTGCATACTGATCGCGACTCCAGAAAAGTTCGATTGTGACAAGATTTCAATTTTCAAAATTAGTTCCGCAACAGAACCATTTTTTCATCTTTTCTGAATTCATAAAAGTAATTCTACGACAGCAGAAACAAAAAAAATTAGGTGAAATGCAGAGCGTTTTTTAAACTGTTAAAAAGAAAACAAATATATTTATTTTTCATACTGATATCTTGGTTTTCCACACCGGAAGATTTCGTCTTCTTTGCTCAAGCCTAATAGCAGATTACTGAAAACAGAGTTTGAAAAGGCTCGGATTTAGGTGCTAGGTTTTTCTTGCGAGGAGGGGCTGGGGTCAATATCAAAATATTCAAATTTTTTCGATGTTTATCGTAGATCGACGAAAATAATTGCGAGCTCTCCCAAAACGCTTTAAAAAATTTCAAAGTTTTCTGCATTGTCTTTGAGCAACAGTCAAAATGGCCCGTCAAAAATCGTTTGGTGCGGACAAGGAGTCGAAAGTCTCAACGAGTCGCTAGTGGTTTTGGCGCACAGGTTCCACGCCGTGGGACATTCAAAACACTACTTATTCGATGTTTATTTTTGCCTTTTACCTTATCAAACTTAATGAATGTAGCATCAAATCATAACAATTTCATACAAATTTATGCAACATGGCACGTTTTGCACGCCACTCATTTCGCCCTATGAAATTTAGCAGCGCATTTTGCCCCTCGCAAGTTTTGCCCCATATTTATTACAGGACTTTGTGTGTAAGATATTGAGGGCGAAACTTGCAGAGCGGGCTGTGCCATTAGTTGTATAAAGGACGAAATGTGTGAAGGGCATTTTGTATATGAAAACTTTTGAATTATACAATCTAGATTTTTCAAGAGGAGTAAGTGTTTCAAAAGAGATGTCAACAACGAAATCGCATAAATTTTTACAAAAAACCCAAAGACTTTTAAAAAAGAAAACGGGGGCCAATTGATATGCGTTTAACTTTCTCGCAAACAATTTTGATCTTTTTGGAGAGATAAACGCGAAAATAGTGTCAACTAGTGTCAATTTTTATGTCGTTAAAAAGTGAATAAGATCTGGAATAGTCTAAGAAAATGAGAAGCTTTGGGAACCTTTGACTGCAAATGGAAACACGAATGAGAATGGTCTAATATGGTAATTAAGCGAGAAAGATTTTGCATAAAAAGTGAACTCAATTGATTTCAATTTTCCTACCAGTTTCATGGTTGAATACAAAAACAAATACAAATATTAAACAAGGATAGCCTGTTAATGTGCAAGTAGCACAGAATGTTCCGACCATAGTCTTAAAAAAACAATAATTTCTTTTTTCAAATTATTGTCGTCTTTTTTCGAAGGGGTGGATTAGTTATTTTAAGTACAAAAATCTGAGGGAGTAGGTATATTCGACAACCATATTAAATAAGCAAATTGAAGAACTTTTGAATTTTTGAAACTTATGATTCCAAAAAGGCGTTAAAATACTCAAAGTAAACTAACGTTACCCAATTAAAACTAATTTTTTACGTTTTAATTTGAGCTATAATAAGCTTTTAAGCCATAATAAGACTGCTCGCTCACTTTATTCACTCGAACTAAGACAAAAAATCAAAAATTTCAAACCGGTTTTTCTCGACACTGGGAAACCGTTTCAATTTTTTTAAATTTGGTTCGGATCACGACTTTAAGGGCTTTAATATGATACATCGCTCAAACCAGTCAGATGATTATTTGTGGTACCTGATATTGCCTGAAAAACAAAAAGAAGAAAAAAACTAAAACACACACGAAAATCAAATTCCTCCCCATTTTCAATGTTGGCAGCAATAAATAAAAGTGGGCTTTTTACAAAATACATCAACAACTAAAAAAATTAATGGTCAAAAAAGTTGTATCAACTTAATATTGAAACTAGATACTTGTAGCTTACGATCATAATTGATGGGCCACCGGTAGAAACATTCCATTATAAAATTCTCTACACCGCTTATTCATAAACAAGACTTTTCGCATATCAGGGCAAAGCCTTGGATGTATCGATTGTAATTAAAGGTTGTTTGACAAGTTTTGTTGTTGACAAAATAGTTCAATTTTTTTTTTAATTTTACCCTCCCCCTCTCTCTGTAATTAGATGTAATTAGAGTCTCCTGACCTATTAAAAAGACCAAATGACTAGTCTCAATTCAATTTGGAACTCAATATTTTGCCGGTCACGCTTCATATAAGAACAAAATTTATCGTGTGACAAATTTGCCGAACGAGCAGTTTTTAAACACGTATCACGAAAAATCATCACAAGTAAAGTTTTTTTTATACATTAGAGCTACAGAGACAACTATCTTTCACATGGAATGAAAAAATCCGTCAAATACGCTTAGTTGGGAAGTCGAAAATGGACTGAAAAATAAAACCAGCCCAAAAATAAATGTTTTGCTTCACCACTTTTATCGCAATGACAATTGACTCAGTGCTGGCCTAGGACTATACTTTTATTATAGTTGATATGGATAAAAGTCATTTCATGGGTGAGGCGACTGCTATTTTACGTTTTATCAATAATTGGGGATCAACTTTCTAAATTAGACCAGTACCACGTCTGTTATCTAAAAAGAGTTAAAAAAAACGGGTTAAAAAGGTTACAGTTTGAGTCGTGTATGGAATTAATAAGACCAAATAGCTTGCCTGCTTACCTCAAACTGGATCGATTTTGAGTGCGACCAATTTGCCACGCAAAAATAGTTCGCATAATAAAATAATATATTCGAGTGGCAGTCCCTTTGGCATTTTAGTCGAGTGCAAGCATACTCATTTGACAATACGAGGTTTTCGAATCGATACCTATATGCTGTCAACTTTTTAAAAATCGGTCTAAACAAAAAACAAACCCAGGCATATATATTCCTCACTTTCTTCGAAAGTCCGAACAATAATGTGATCCCTACATAAAACGTCCGAGCTTTCCTTGAGGCATCGACAACCGGGCAATAACAAAATAAGGTTGAATACGGCTTAATTTAAGCTATACTACCTCTTTTCTTGTAAAGAGAATGAAAATTTATTAACGTAGTGATTATGCCACCAGATACTTAAAAAAACTAGTTTTATTTTATTTTGAGGGGATGCAGTTAAAAAAATCAGTGCATCATTATATGATGACTAATAATTAATGTTTACATTTTATTAGCTCTTTTCGCCCAAAACTTTGTTTGCCAATGTATACTAATTTTAATGTCAAAATTTTCCAAAAAAGGCCCACAAACAAACATTTGAGCTTGTTGTTTTCTCTGCGGGGCAGAAAATTTGGCCACAATTGTGTCTATATGGTCTTTTAAAGAGCTCAGAAAAACAATTTGGTCGGCATAGAAAAATAAAATCCAATTTTGCAATTTTATTGGGAAAATCTGCCTCCCCCTTGAGAAAACTCTAGATCCACACCTGGTAGTATTAGTATTAAAATATGTAATTACAAATTTGAAAGGTGCAATTCTGATAGATATCAGAATTGAATCTCTCATTTTATAATGAACGGTTTTTTTGTAAAACAATCAAACGATTTTTAGTACGAGAATGAAAAGAGTCATGCTTAATGTTTGCCTGAATTTATAAAAGCTACTGTGAAGGCTGCTGTAAAACGTTAGGTTACTCTGGATAAGGTTAAAATGTGGATAATCTTTGGTCTCTGGATAACGTTACTTAACATTAGGCGTAGAAGTCCTCCAATTTATTGAATCAATATTTTCAGATTTTTTTCTTGAAAATGCTAGTTGAGTAAACTAATTAAATGCTAATTATTTTTTCGATATGATAACTGAGTGAGCTATAAAACTTCCACCCTTGAAAATTTTTCTTAAAAACAGTTTACAAAGGTAGTGACTGCTTGGCTTCATCATACGTCATGCTGCCATTTCGTTAAAAAAAATTGTCATTAGCGTTTTTCTTTGTTCTTGATACGTATAACTCATGTGAAAAGAAAAATGAAACAACTCTGAATGAAAAAAAAAAACAAAAAAGTGAAACATTCGAACTTTTATTGTATTTCTGTTTGCTACCGATCTGACTAGGTATTTTGGCTGCAATTTTTTAGCTTTGAAAACATTAACAAAAAAAGTTTAAAGAAAAACAAAAACTCGCAGATTTGAAAACGTAGCTCTAAAAATAATTTGTGACATTAATCGAAGGGTTTTGTCAATCGCTTGGGGCTTATAACCATTTGAATGAAATTTAATTCAATCATGCCAACAAAGGTTTTGCGTCATATTTGTGCCGGTTTTTTTTTCCAATATTCATTGTTTCATCGTTCAAATTTAATCAAGCGAGTTTGTTTTTAGACTTGATCTATTTTTTTCCTGAGCTTTCAGTCAAAGAACCCCATAACCGAACAAAAAATAATTTAAGTGAAAGAACAGTTTTTTTCAATAATCAAATTAGATTATCAACTAATGAATAAGGGCGAGAAGAAGCGGCACAATTATGACGCCTAAAATACGTTGTCTTGACTGAAGTAGATTTCAATGAAAATGTTATAAGCCCCAGGCCATTGACAAAACTCTTCGATTAATCGCTCGATTCAATTTGAGCGCAATGTTTTCAAATCTGCGCAATTTTTGTCTAAAATTTTTCCACAGTTTTTTCAAAGATAAAATAGGAGTGTCAGAGTACGTATTTAGATTGGTA